CATCCTTACTGTCCTGTGCAATAAATGTCCATTTCTTAAGGAAGGACAAGTGTTGTCTGAAAGCTCTGGTTATATTTCTGGCTGTTTATTTACATTAAATTTTTAGAATTTGCTTATTAAATTTATATCTACTGATCCAGCCATTGTTTCCAACAGCATTGTTTTGTTTTTTTTTCAGTATTTTGCCTTTTTATTGTAACTTTATTTTTTTAATATGAATTCTTTTTATTATTGTTAATAACTTGAAAGTTATTGTCTGACCCATTTTAGGCCGATACTCTAACCGGATTTTTTTCATTTTGAATCTATTATTGTTTTTGTTATTATTTTCCTACTTGTGATCCACATGACATGTTATCGTTAAATCTTATTTAGTTGTTAATCAACTTCCTCTAAGACTGTAGTAGGAAATACTTGGGTATCATGATCGTTGATTCGCGTTTCCTATTCTTGTTACCTGTTCTAGATCTCACAAGGTCTGATTATTTTGATTGACATATGTCTCATATTTGGTATGGCAGATTATCAAACAATGATTTAATTATTTTGGGATCTGTGAAGAATTTTGTATTCGGTCAGAATATTGAGTGTGGACATGCTTGTCTGGGGTTTTGTTTTTTTCGCAAAATGACAGAAAATTGTGTCTGCCGTAGTTCAGTTTTACGCAAAAAGTGTTTACTTTAGTACGTTGTTTATGACTCAGAAACAATATATATATATTGTCATCTTGCTCATCATCATTTTTGTTGTCATAGATATTGATATGACAATAGAAAAAGTGCCAGTTTCTTCATTCTGAAAGAGTGCCAGTTTATATTTTTTTTTACTTCCATTACAGTTGTTTTTGTTCACTGTATTGTTTCACCTTATAATTCAATACTTTTTGTTCAAATGTTTTCTAGTAAGATAAGCCTTATCTGCCCATTGATTAATAACAATAGATTCCTGTTGATGAATTCGCCCAGGATCTCGCATTTTACCCATCTTTCGCTAAAACGTACCAAACCATAATATAATTATGATTCTTTAGCCATGAATTGTTCTGATCCATGAAATTGATAACATCACTTGTGCTTTAGTGTATGCGCTACCATCGCACCAGCTGTATTATGGAATTTAACACATGCCCGCTTGAAGCGAAAAAATATTTTGATTTCAATGAACAATTTATGTTTTAGTTATTTGTGTGAAAGTCTCTTGGATTATGTATTTAGGTCGAAATCTGTTTTTTCGATTATTTCCATGCATACTTAATTTTAGACATTGTTATATAATTCAACCTTATGCCTAGATATATAGAATTAGAAAATTGTACAATTGTATGTATGTATGTTTATAAAGATTTGTATAGCACATACCGGAATTTCTTTCATTATGATCATCCTTACGGGGAAGTATAGTACATGATGTCTAAAGTGTTGAATTCCTGCTTTGTTTCTTTATTAAATGGAAAAATGTTTTTATGCACATGTTTTCCGCATCTTTGCATATGAAGGAGGTACTATACAGCCACCTATCCCCTGTCTTCAATAATTTAATCTCACAGTGATTAAAAACAACCAATCGTAATGCAGTTTTAGCTAGATTAAAAGACTACGTTATTATGTGAAGATTAAATTAAGTGACAAACGGAAAACGCTTAGATGGATGATGATACTACAAGAAGATCTCACTGAAGAGCTCCTGCTCCAAAAGTGGATGCATTTCGACAAATAACTGTCATTTAAAGTGATGAGGAGCTCTGCAAAATAAGGATTTATTGCTTATTGTTAATGCTAGGATTTCAGGTGGAATTATAAATAGTGCCTTATGAGTGCCGGTATCCTGAGCGTGATTTGCTCTTGTGCCAAGAAGTCTGTCCGGGTTACGACCGGAATCAGGCTGTGTCATCAAACTTTCCCATAGTGTTATTTATTTATTCATTTTATGAAGGTTTAGTCTGTTTGAATTAATTATTTATGATACTTCTTAAATGCAATGAAAATGTACAAGATATAATATTAAACCATATGTACATAATCATAATGTAAAAATTTTAAAGAAAATATATTATTCACGTTAAACTAAACCTAGATATCAATTAAAAATAATAGTAATAATAATAACATATGATAATAAGATATTTAATTAATTTATACCAAGGGAGTTAAATTACTGGCTCTATTTCACCCATCTGTGTTTGCAGTAGTATCCTTTATAAAATGTTGGAACTAATGTATCCACCTTATAAAATAATAAAATTAAATTACTTTCCTCTGTTACTGTCATCAATTTCAATGCCATATTCTTTTAATTTTCCTGCTTTGTATATCTCTTTTTTAATTAGATAACATTAAATTGTTGATATATTGCAAAGCCATTAATTAGCTATTGCTGGCTTGCCTGCTGGTTGTCGAGAATGCGATACCTGGGTTTGTCTACATTGGCTAATGTCTCTTGCATGCTTTGCTATTTACATTAGCAACTGGCTCTGTTTGCTGTTTAATGGCCGTCTCATCCCTGTGTGTGGTTCAGACATTCGTATCCCTATCAGCTGTTTCTGAATGTTTATTACCTCAACAGCTTTGAAGTACATATTGTCTTTATTATATATTCATCACATAATCATTGTCATCACCATCATTATTATTATCATTTTTTCATCACCATGCTAATAACCATCATTATGAGCATCATCATCATGAACATTATCACCATCATCTTTATCAGTTGTATCATGGTTGTATCACCATCGACATCATCATCAACATAATCATTTTCTGCATTACGCTTTTTTTTTTTATAAGAACCAGTAAAATGTTGCCCAGGCTCAGTGTTCTTATTTTTTGGCCGATTTTAGGCTCAAAATGTTCTTATTTTGTTCTTAGTTTACAAACCTTTTAAACAAAAAAATTACTTAATTGTACGGCAGTATGCACTGTACTAGAATGTAGGGGAAAGTGACGCCACAAAAAATGGCCCCCAAATGTCAGATAGGGTACTAGGTACACTTACTGTACTGTATTACAGTCACACCTGCTGCACATAATGTACAGATATAATATTTTGGTTTTTAAAAAAATAAACCTCATTTGAAATTTTACCTCAGCCTCAATTTGTTCTTATTTTGTTCTTAATTTTTAAGCAATTTCAGCCTCAGTGTTCTTATAAAATGTGTTCTTATAAAAAAAAAAGAAAGTGTAACATCATTATCTTATTCATCATCATTATTATCTTCTATATAATCACAAAATAGATCAAGACACTGATGAACATAGTAAGAATATATGAACCAGCCACAAATGCTATTATTACTGTACTAGTAGTTGTCCCTTTTCGTAGAGGGCACTCTTCATGATATTTAATTTCTAATCTGATATCAATACCGGGTCATTTCACCCACATTCAAATGTACTTTTAGTGATAAACAACACTTCCATTACAGAGGTTCTGGGTTGATTGAACACATTGTTAATATACCTATGTGACCTAAATATCATTCTACAAAATGTATCACCAAAAAACGGAAATGACAATCCAGTACTGTATGCTTCAAATATTTTTAAAATCCTATGTGATTAATTGATATTAGCAGTATTATTAGAACTCTTATATTTGGTTATATTAATGAGCCATTCTGATAGATAGTTCCACACGGTACCAATGTATAACATATAAATGAGTTGTAATGTCAACCTCATGAAATTTGCAGCCAGCTATATAAAGTCTTTCATGTTTGATCAAGATTTTGTAAGGTCAGTCGGTAGATGTCAAGCATGTCGACTAGCTTAGTTAGCATAGAAATGAAGCATAACATGTAGGCTGGGAACACACAAAAAGGAATGTAAATAACTCCTTAATCTTGTATGTGTTACAGATGTAATTTATTTTCTAATGAAGATCATCATTGATAGGTTTCAACTATTCCTGATGGATAGTACTGGATTTATGCATTCTGATTGCCATTGATATGTCACAGTTTTCTCATGCTTGTTAATCCAAGATTAGATTGGATTCTTGAGGAGTATGAGATTAACTACTGAGTGGATTTACTCATGCTGTTGACTAAGAAATGGCATTCTGCTATGTTCAAACGTAGAAAAAATAGGATAGTTAAAAAATAATGGTCTGGCTTGATCATCATCTTCATAGTCATTATCACCTTCATCGTCATCATTTCTGGATTTTGGCGCTGTATAAATATTTTGATTGATTGAATGATCATCATTATCATCATCTTCATTGTTGTCATCATCATTATTAAAATAATAACAATAATAATAATTATATAGATTATCATTTTTTGTTTACCTGCCTTGCTTTGTGTGCATGACTTGCAGATAAAATAAAACAATAATATTATCTGATATTAACATTCCAAATTTACTGATTTGATCACAACATCAAAGTTCATATTCTATGGCTATTTTGAAATTTAGTTTATTTTTCATGATTCTCCTCATCATAGGTCTCCTTGAACAAAAAGCATCTAATGGCTAACATTGTACTGTACAAAGAAGTGATGATAATACTATAGATGAATTCCCACCATTAGCACAGAGAATTACTGGGAATACTCTGAATTGTGTAGTAAAGGGGATTACATTTAGACCTACAGTAGCAATATTATTAAATCATTAGGGATTTGCATAGTTTCAAGCTTGTAATTTCCAGAGATAATATTTCTGTATTATTAAAGACATGTTAATGAGAAGGTATACAATTACAGATTGTTGCCAGCTGGTGTCATAGTTGCTTGCATCCTTGGTATGTCCTCCTGTACCTGAGTTTTAATGGAGTTATTTACCTGTTTATGACTTTGGAGCAGGTCTTTGCCTAATATTTTATATTTTTGTTCATAGATGTAAGGCAAAATAAACTTAATTGTTTCATGTCTTGAATTTGAAATAATGGCATATACTAGAGGTAAACAAGCTAGTAAATAATAAAAATTGTTTATTTATAAAAGAAGTAAAATACAAACAACTGAAATGATTTTCTAATTCATATCTTTGCTACAGACATAAAGAGTGAATTTAAAAAGCACCCTCAAGCCGTAGAAGCTATAGCTGGTGGAACATATGTTTTAGAATGTACACCACCAAGGGCATTTCCAGCACCCGATATAACATGGGAAAAAGATAAAGACCCCCTCGTTAGTGATGGAGACCGTGTTCAGATTGTGCAAGATGGGAACCTAATGATAAAACAGGTATGGATGATTTTTTTTTTATTTTAGTTTGTTATTAATCATATTTATCCATAGAAATTAAATATGATTTTCGTTTAGTTAATTTTTCAAATTTATTTTATAGGTTCGTGAAGAGGATGAGGGAAGCTATGTGTGCATAGCTGAGAACATGGCGAACAAAAGAAAGAGTGATGCTGGTGTTTTAACTGTAGTCAGTGAGTATTCCAATATAATCTTCCATGGAGAGGTTTAAGTTCAATTATTTTTCAAAAGGTGTAAGATTTTAATCTACAAGTTTCCAGAAAACATTGCACATCTACTACTAAACAACATTTCATTGCACAATTTCTAGATAATGTGTTCTTATCTTATGAAGATTCTTCTACATTATTTACATGTATCTTCTATGTCTTTTTTTTTCCAGTATAATTTCCCTCTGATCTGAATTCTTGTTTACATAGCTTCATAATACAATTACCTTCCTTTCAGGTGTTCCAGGTGGTGGCCCAACCCTCAGTTGCTCACCAGTTGACAAAATGGTGCATATCGGGAAAACCGTCTCGTTTTGCTGCCAGGTCGACCTCATTCCTGGCGCAACACAACCCACAATCTATTGGCATAAAGGAACTCAATTGGTGAGTATTTTGAACAAATATGATTATAATTATATTATATAATAATAAATTTATCAATTTTCAACTGTAGGCATTTAGAGGACAAACATACCAAGCGAAAATTCCAGTATTATATAATTTATATTCTAAATATTAACACATGCTTTATTAATTTTTTTCATTCAGAGACTCTACCCTGGCGAACGTGATGGTAAAATAAGTGTATTGAATGATGGTAACCTGCAGATAGCAGCAGTGAGTAAGGAAGATGAAGGCTACTACTTCTGCACAGTGGCTGCTGAGCAAACTATCTCGGCACAGGCTTATTTACGAGTAGTTGGTAAGGAGCTTAATATTCATGTATTTAAAAAGTTACATTTCGTTAAATAGCAATATCTCTTCTTCCTTCCCACACATCCATCTTCTATTCTTATCTATTTCTTCCAATACATATTTTCCTCTCCCCTACCCAAATATCTCCCTCCAACATACCTCTCTACTCCCTACCAATGTCACTTCCTTTTCATCACACATCACCTAACCTTTACTATGAACATTTACTATATCTCTTTGTTATTCCTACATAACCCACTTATCCCCCATCTATATTTGTTCCTTCTTAAACACCACATTTAATTTTCCTTTTTCCCAAAAAAATCCCCCTTACCCATCTAGTAAAATATTTTTCCTTAATGCCATTGAAGACAACTTCAATGAAAAATGACTTTTTACAGCCCTTCCCTAATCTTGAAGCAATCCTAATAGTGATATGAAAATCAATACCTGATCTATTAGCTTGCACTAAAGGAGAATGTACCGCAGCTTAACTGTGAAAACGAAGGGCATTTCAATCAAATTCTCATTATCGGAGCACGTTACTAATGAACTGCTGACGGCCTGATAATTTGCAAGCGTAACCGCAGGGTTTGAACATTCACATCGAAATCTAAAATCCATATCTTATTTCTATTACATCATAACTTCAGAGGATGGAATGTTTATTCACAATTGTTATCTACATATTGATATTGAATATGACGGGGAATGCCCTGCAATGGTTTGTGAGATAATTGCAATGATATTGTGTAGCGATCCTTAAAAGGTGGTATACCTTGACTCCTCTGTAAGATCAAATTCAAATTAAAAATATCACATTAGTGATCAAGCTGCAAAAATACTAATGTGACATCTCAAGGTGAATGAGCTGAAGCCTTGTCCGGACTACAACATTTCATTTGACAAAAACTTGTGACAACAGTTTTTTTGAAAAATTGATGTTGTGAACAGAGCTTTATTGTAAATTTTGTTAACAGTAGTTTGTATATTATTTCTTATTTATATATAATATTAAATTATAATTTGTTTTTAAGTTTTCTTACTGTCAGTACAGCAAATCGGTTTTAATGCTTCTGATGTACAGTACGTACACATTTGACTGTAAAGGGACTAACAGTGGTCATTATTCACAGTTAACTGACTTGGGTAGTGTCCCTTTAATGTGTGTTTGTTCCCATAAGGACATGAGCAAGATGAAAGTACTGGCATACTAGTTCTATTGATTATGGTTCTGTAATGTAATTAATTAATAATTATGTCTACCGAGCCTGCCTTGGATGATGTTAGTGGACATCATACCATAAGCTGGACATCTTTTTCTCTATTTCTCTTATATCTTTAATTGATTTATTTATATATTTTGCATTCTTTCATTTTCGGTATTATGCCTTAATCTGATTAATAAATCACGTAGTCATAATCATAACTACAAATTATATTTAGGTTGTTTTTTTAATATATTATTTATTTATTATTTAATCAGGAAACAGTTACATAAACAAAACAATAAAGAACAAATTTACAAAAAAATAAAAAGTTATTATTAAATCAAAGTACATTAAATTCAGACACAGTAAAAAAAAAAAACTACACGTTAACGTTTATATGACATTCTAGCAAAATGTTATAAAACTAGATGAAATCAGAAACTAAAGCTCGCAATATCCGAGTATTCTCATTAGTTTTGAGGAATTTCATCAGAAGTTTCTCATCAATCTTTTAGTTTTTATCAGTCTGCCTGTGAATACATAGTTTTGCACTCCACAGTTCATAAGCCATCTATCGGGCAATTTAACATCCTGGTTACAGGAGGTCAGTGACTCCATATCAAGTACTGTATATAAATATTAATCACATCAGCGATTTATCTAATCTGCGTAAGTCCAGATCTCCTGAGCAAAATCTGTGAGGAGTTTAAGCAGATACCGCAACAATCTATAAATATTGGTAATAATGTAATTATCGCCACTTTTATTATCACCTTTATTTTGTAGCAACCAATATCAAGTTTTAAGAGTCACATCAATTACTATACAATGTAACATCAGTTATCAAAGACTAAATATTCTTATATTTAATGTGAGATTAAAATGGAATTTGATTAGATTCAAAAACACTCATATTTAGAAAGTAGAACTGTTTTAGTATTTCTAAATAAATTTGATTTTCACCGAATTTAAACAAATTAGAAAACCGACGTGTACAAATGCAGATCCGTGTGCATTGACAAAATGCACCAATTTCCATAATGCTCTAAGCTTTTAGGTTTGTGATTTTCTTTTGGTATTTGCTAGAGAAACTGTTCAGTGTTCACATAATGTACAGTAAACATCCCACATGAAATATGACACAATCATTGTTTACCCAAATTATCACGTAATAATAATTATATGTAAACATTAATATTATTAGTTATAATATATTATTAATTATAATTAACACAACCTAATTTTAATATTTTAATACTTCTCTTATCTGGCATCATGTCAATTTAATTTTTTTTGTGTTTTTGGTGATTTTATTATTCCCATTAATGTTATTCAATTCTTATTTCTTTAGTTACATTTTACAAAAATAATCATTCTTGTATAAATCTTTTCTCATTTTCCAACAGTTAAGCATTCACTCCAACATAATACATATTTAATACATTCATTTCTGCAAACCATTTCAATAAATAGAGAATTCAGTTTATATTATTATGTAAATCTCCTTGATTGTGTTTGTCTTTGCTGCTTCAGGAGAATCTAAATTCACAGACTGTTAATGAAAATGTCGCCTCACAACTTAAAACTTCAGTTTGTTTTTCTGTTTGGCTGTGTTTAAGAGTTCAAACATCGATATTCGGTACATCGCTTGAGTGTAATTGAATACAATGAGTTGGTTATTTGACATTTTCTGTTCTACAGAGTCTGTTGAACTGCCTCCAATCATCCGACGCTGTCCATATAATCAAACACTACGGGAGGGTACAAACAACGTGTGGCTCCAATGTGATGTTGAGGGCTCACCTCAGCCACAGATCGAATGGTTGAAAAACGAAAGGCCAATGTCAACAAACATAAGGTATTACTACTGTATTTAGCAATCTTTTTTTTCTTTATTTCTCAGGGTTTTTCACATATATTTTTCAAGTTTTATTGTTAAAAAATATATTATTTAAGTTGGTACTGTTAATTTTGTTATTTGTGAAATTGATACTGTGTATCAAGAATATCACTACCTAAATAATAATTATTTGATGCCAATATTATTTCTTCTGTAGGATTCACACATTAGCGTCAGGGTCGTTGCAAATTTCCGAGTTACAGTTGAGTGATGCAGGACTCTATACCTGTGTTGCCACCGTTGAAAATTTTGAAACGCGGTGCTCAGCAGAGCTTACCGTTACCAGTAAGTAGAATCCAAACTGTAGTAGTCTGCAGTAATTCCTGCTCACACTCTGATTGGCCAATATTTTCATTACATATAATATTAAATTATACTTATTAAAATCACCATTATGTTTTCAACTTTCCAGATCTAGATGGAATTCAGCGGCCCAATCCAAAAGACAGCGAATTCCCTGGCGCTCCAAGTATGCCGACCGCCCGCAATACGTCAAATGGTCATGTGATTGTGTCCTGGGGACCGCCAACATCAACATCAAGTTCTTCAAATCTTCTGTATAGAATAGAAGGCTATGATAATGAGGTTGATGCAAGTAAGTATAATTTGATTTGTTACCGTCATGAGTTTAATATACAGGTGGTGAAGATTGTGGTCCGCGGGGCACATGTAGCGCAATAATTATGTTACCCACCTTTCACCTCTGTTTGTATGACCCATCACCAAACATAAATAAACTTTTTCTCTGTTTTTATTACAGCTTGGCAGATCCTAGCCAATAATATAGTTGGAACTTCCTACGAGTTACAGAACCTTCGTTCCGACACCACTTACGTGTTCTACATCCGCGCCATCAACAGCGTTGGAGCTGGTCCGCCAAGCTCAGTTTCGCATGCATTTACAACTGGAGGTTGGTGCATGTAATTGTAATCACAAGTTAGGCAAATAAAATAATTATTAACATATTATTTAAATTAAAATACTGTATACAAAAACTTTTTTCTATAAAGTGCACACTGATATACTGTATGTTAACAATGCTTATGTTTAAAAATATTTATGTATATTAAATTACAAAAGAATCCCTCATTTGCAACATCAATATTAAGGTAACACACCTGTTAATAGGGAACACATTTTTGGCTATAATTATATCACTACAGCCATCGCCTATTAAGGGGACACCATCGGGACCACAAAAAGTGTCTCCTTTATGTCTTAGTAGAGTTTCTACTGCATAAAAATCTCAAAAAAGCATGACTAACTTTGTTTGGATATTTCAACTTACAGATACAATGATAGTCCCTGGTTCCGGCCCATCTAATCAACGTGTTGATATTACTAATGTATTAGTTCTTAGTCCAACGGCCTTCAAAGTCATCTGGAATGTAAGTATTCAACTTGTGCTTCAATTCCACAGTTGACCGGATTGTCAACTACATGGTGCATCATCGTAAGGCATCATTGGATTCTTTAAATGCAGGCCAAGATTTCAGTATAATTTTTATATTTTATATTTTTTCTCAATATTACTACATTTTTCAGATGACGACAACTTATTTTCTTTGTTCAAGCCTTAATCTCATTTTCTCATAGAGCAACTGTCCAAGCTGTAAGTACAATGTCAAGTACCGAAAAACCAATGGCGAAGGAATAATATTACAGGAGAGTGCAGAAAAAAAAGAAAAGATTATAACGGGACTTAGCCCAGGAACGTCATACACAATTAGTGTACAACCAGTAGACAATTCCATTCACGGATCAGACAGTGTTGACATTATCAAGCAGACATTAGAACAAGGTATACAGGAAGAAACAAGGCATTTAAAAATTGGTGGAATGAAAGTTTTTTAAAAATGAATGAATGAGCAAACGAATGAATAAATAATGTTCCTTTTATAGCGCAAAGTTGCTTAAAATTTAGGAATAGAAATGAATGAGAGGTAAAAGAGTGCAAAAAGCTTTCATGTTACACTCAGAATAAATGAATTAATAAATATACATACATATATATGATGGGTTGTAAGATTAATCTAATGAATAAATGTATACATGAATGAATGAATAATGACATGACATTGCGTAAACATTATATCTGCAATTTAACATGGTATTGAGTGTGAATGGTATGTGAGAATATATGACCTCATAGATAGAGACAATGTTTAATGAGACTTTAATTGATTCGCACTCTATTAACAACTTGTTCACACCTGCGTATCACCTGGCCTCTTGTTTCCCAGGCGACAGTCTTCAATCAGCAGTAGCAGAAAGTGTTCTTCAAGATAAGCTTGATAATTGCAACATTCAGATAAAAAGTTTGACAGCCGAAAGCAACACAAGTGCCCGAGTTCAGTGGAAGGTCGGTATTATAGGATCTAAAATGCATTTATTCATCAGAGTAACAAGATTTCCTTTAATAGTGTGTGCTATACATAAAACATTAAAATATAAATAGTGTATTATTAAGTGTTTTGCAGTTGCTTATTGCTTGTTTGGAAACTGCAAATACTAATTATAGAATCAAATCAAAATAATTTTGAAATTGCACTTCATCAAGTAAGTGTGGTATTATTCGCTCAGAAAATAATGGGAGTTAAAAATTGGCTTTAATTCCACAATAATAGCGGTTTTGATGTCTACGGAGTAAGTTCATCATCAGTATACAAAAACAATTTAAACGGATTTAATAAAAATCTTGTCAGGCGTTATTCCGTTTACTGTCTCATAATTGAAATAATAATGATATATGCATGGAGCTCTATATTTTAATTATTGGCTTCCATCTATTGCATAGCCATATTAAAAACTCATTTCTTTTATACGCAAGTGTAAAAAAAGAGAATGAAACAACCTAGAAAAAATTCAGATGAAGTTAAAGCAGTAATAGAGAATTGTGGGAAATATCTCTTTGTAGCTTAGTTGCTAACTATTAATTCTCCCAGTTAAGTAGTACCATTTTGTATCTGTGCTATTTTAATAACATTTGGTTAATATTAATTAACTTATGTTAAGAATCAAGAGATATGCATATCAGATGCAACATGAATAACAAAATGAAATTTATAATAAGCATCATACAAAGCAAGGTTTTGTGAGTACGAATACACAAATTTTATGTGTACATTTTCTTAAGAGTTTTATTGTCTGTATGTTTACAGATCAGCAAGAACATCCACTACGTTGATGGCGTTCACATTCGTTATGCAGCCAATAGTGAATACATGATACAAACAGCGACCAGATCACAAGAAAACACCACGCTTACAAACCTGAAACCATATACGGAATATACGGTCACTGTCATCCCATTCTTAGACAACTTCCTGGGAGCACCTAGTAACGAAGAAAAGGTCAAAACTAAAGCTGGAGGTACAGAATCATGCTGTAGATTGTGTTTTAGTTTAGTATAGTATTTTATTTATTGTTATATTATTTTCATTAATATTGTTGCATAATAAAATAACAATTGAAACTTTTCATGCCTGTTTGAATAAAATTGATTTACATCAAAGTGGTTTCTAATCCGGTGGCTGTAATGTTTCAATGTCGACTTGTTGCCATGTAATAAATATTAAGTAGGCCTATAATTTGAATGTTGGGCATTATTTTCTAAGTTATGGAGTTTTACTAACTTTTTTCAATAGTCCCAGAAATTGCTCCACAAGATGTGTACGCCCTCCGGAAGAACACGACGACAGTTATGGTGGGCTGGCAGCTGATCCAATCCTGGCATGTTCCGGGTCAGATAAGGGAATACCATGTGATGTGTATAGCAGAAAATCCAAAATACAATAAGAATGTAACAGTGAGTGGTTCAACAGATTCTATCCTGGTCACAGGATTAGAACCAGGTGTGGAATATCGAGTGAAGGTAATGGCATCAACAGAGACTGGTGTGGGACCAGTCAGTGACCCTGTCAATATTGTTGGTAAGAAAATCATAATTTTTTTTTTTTTTTTTTGGTGGGATATGGTCGCGAAATGCATGTAAACAACACAATTCGGCGAACTAGTCTGATCTTCATAGTCGTCACAGCTACCATCACTACCACCATCACCACAATTTTTTTTGGTGGTTGGGGGGGGGGGTGGAGTTTTATTACTGACAATATTATTTTTGTTCTTATTATTGTTTTTGTTTTTATTGTTATTTTTGTTGCTATTTTCCTGTTATTTGTTAACAATGTGCCTGTGAACCAAATGTCTATTATTAATACTGATGTTAGATGTACAATTTATAGATTATCATGATTGATTGATTTACTGTATGCTTTGTAGATTGATGTTGGTTTTTTATTTTCTATTCAGAGAGCGTATCGCCACCAAATGGTGAACCTGGCAACTCTTCTTCACTCATCCTTGGTGTCATCATCGGTGTGTTCTTTGTTTTTTTCTCCTGTTTCGTATTTTTTGTGTGGAAGTGGAGACAGGCAAAAAAGAACAGCGACATTGAATATAAAGGTAAATTTGCCTGTTTTGTGTAAGGAATTTTTGTATGCACTGTTGTTTTTAGAGTGATTTTGATATATTGTTGTTATTAGTTCTTTTCACAACTTATTTTTCCTATTAGAATTTAAATAAGGTCCTAATATCTCAAATATATTTTATAAAAAATATATAATATAAATAAAATATGTTAGATTTTAAAATGTTCATTTCTGTATGGAAAAGCATTCTCCTCCTGATTTATGTTTCATTATTACAAAACGTAAAAAAATGTTGAATTTTGAGAGTGAAGAAAAATTATATACAGTAGTTATTACTTTTTAACTAAATATCCCAATGATTTAAGAATATCAGGTCGTGTCAAAGATCTTATATTAGGGAGCTTTCGATTGCACGACGACGGTAGGACGTAGAACGTAATGACGTCACTAACAGTCATCTGCGCATGCGAGAACGCTAAGGTCACCTCGTCGAGTAAATTCTGGAAGGCAATTTGGCCAAATCTACGTATGCAGAGAACGTAGGACGCCAGGTAGGACGGTCACGCATGAGTGATTCCGTTCTAGCGTAGAGTCGTCGCACAAATCGAAAGCTTCCTATTAACAATATAGCGCTCTCCACGATTTTATGCATAAGAAATTAAAAAAATTAAAAAATGCAGTTAAAAGAAGCATAAAAAGTAATTGTTTTTGATAGAGGGCGGTCTGCACTGCGTTGTTACCATGGTACAGAATTTGTGCTAAGGTCATGTTCGAAAAAGTCATTGTAATTGCAAGAGAGTGCCCTACGGTCTGTTGTTACAGGATTTGCGTTAGAAATCCTGGTGAACGCTATCTTAAAAGATCTTTGGGTCGTGTCCATTCAGGAGTGAATATTCAAAATTCTTGAAATACTGTTAAGTAAATTCTGCTGTAAATATTAGTCACTCACGTGTGCATGTGAATGAGTTTTAAAAGTACACGTAGAAGAAAAATGTAGAATATTTCTTTTTTCGCCAACTGTATCCCATTGCTTCTTCCTTCCTTGATTATATTTTTGATTTTTCTTTATCGCTAAAGCTGTCGGAAGCCGTTATGTGTTAGGTACGTTAAAGAAAAACCGAGTAAAAAAATGAGTGGGTTATGTTAGATGCTTTTGGACCTTTGCTTTGAAAACAAGCCCATCTGATTGCTTAATTTGAATTTTTAAATATGTGCATATATGGCTTGTTTTCACTGATTGGTTCACTGTTTAATTGTGCTATAGCAATGGAATTTTAGTTCATTTCAATTTTTTTCTGTTTCTTTATGTTGCATTCTGTTTTGAAGTCTTTTATGTTGCAATGATTGAATGGCCGAATAATTTTCAGCGCATTGTATAATGTTGAACTTTGACCTTTGCCGTGTGTTAGTGTGTCATGGATGTTGTGTCTTGTCATCTATCTTTCAATCATATTTTCAATTTTCAACAATGTATTTTTTGTTTTTTTAGAAAAAAATTTAAAGTTGGTTGGTTTTTCCAATGGTGCATGATATTCAGAAAATGTTTTAACTGTCTTAATAATTTTTTTCTCTAACGAATTAAAAAAATTGATTGACATCCAAGTTAAATTATTCATAAATACATTTTTAAACTCATTATATTTGTTATGTGTAATTTTTTTTCGTGCATAATTATTATATTTGTATCAGTCTGTTTGTAAACTATAGAACATATAAATAATATGAAATACAAATGTTTACCCCTAAAAATAATTTATTAGTGACTTTAGTATAAAATGATTTTAATGTGATATTTTAATTATATCTAAAAATATGGTTTTTTTTAAATCCTTGCATTTATTGACTTGATAAACAAAGAGCTATATTTTTAAATTTTGGTTTTCGGAAAATTATGTTCAATAGCTAAAAATTCGGTTCTGGTATGTATGCTTACCATGTACACAGCTTGCAGTGTCATTAATGTCGCTGCCTTTTATTACATAAGAGAAATTTTTTCTAAGCCAAAGCTCAGTGCGAAAGAAAAAGTGGTACATTTTTTAATTGGGTTGTCAAAATTTTCATAGTAGAATTTAGTAAGTGCACGCATTTTGATTGTAATTGCTTTTTTACAAACATTCACCAACATTCTTCAGACATGTTTTGGTGCGATTTTATTGTTAATTTTTATTTTTAATTTTTTTTTTTAACTTTAGGTCCTGTTAGTCAAGATAATTCTGATGTTGCAAGGTATGTATCAGTAGTCTCATAATATAATCTTCTTCATTATTATCTTCAGCATTTGTATATTTTAAGTACGGTAGGTCATAATGGTCAGTCAAAAGTGAGTAACACTAACACTTTTTAGCCCAATGTTGCTTTATCAGTCATCATAATCATGTTCAACACTATCATAATTATCATCATCATCTTTCATCAACATTATGGTTGTCATAATCATCATTACCATCATTAGAATTTCTGCCTTTTGTACAGCCCATTTACATTAGAACCAATGTGACCAAAAAATACTAATAATAGTAATCTGGTAATTATACAGACCTTTCCAGACTATCAAATTTTATTTAATAAAGATATGCCTAAATATGGTCATGATGACATCATATCATGACAATATATAGGCACATCATGACTATATATTGACATACAGCAGTTTTTAGTCAAAGAAAATTTAATAAACTGAACTGGTCTTAAGTAAATAATAATATATACTGTGTAATAATTAATTTACCGTATGTTGTTGTTTTCTTACCCTACAGACATGTACATACTACTGGGCACCAACAGCCAGCCAATTGGCACCAGCCGCAGGAGGATTTTTACAGTCACACACACGGTAACCTACGAGGATGTTTGCCTGCATGCTGTAGTATAGAGGGCTCCCTTTATGATTTATCAAGGAAACGAGAGTGTTTTAATGTCAACGGCTCATTGAGTCAGATCCGATGGGTGAACAATGATAATCACGGTGGGGTTTCTAATTGTATGTGACAATCTGTCGTGTGATGGTTGTGTCGCTGGTGACGGTTATTACCTGGCTAACGAATATCGCAAACTATTCTGGGTTTCTGCAGGATGGCATTAAATAGTCCCTTGTATATTGTTATAATACCTACCTATACTAATCACTCGCTGAGAAATTTCCCTTGGTCTAAATAATTGTCTTGAGTCTTCAGTGATGATTGACTATGGTGATCCCTTTTTACATGTGATTATTGGAATCATGAGTTGTTTACTAACAAAGTCCCCTAACAAATATGGGTTGTGCAATAGTCTGCTAATAACTGTATACAATGCTGCAAGTATAAACACTAAGTCTTTTTGGCATTCTCATTTATTAACCATTAATTTGCTTATTAATTGCCCTTTACTTACATGTAGTTTGATTGTTAAAATGCTTTCATTCCAAACATCAGGGCCCTCAGCAATAATCCTGACCCCTTTCCCACCCCCAGAAACTCCTCATTGTTTTGAAATTTAATATTGCTTTGTATTTTTGTTCATTTGTAATTTAACACCTCATATTATATATTATTATAATGATACCTTTAATGTAACTAAAGCAAACTAAATATAATGTACATTCCTGCTGTTAAAAAAATTAAATATCACCATAGTAATTAGAAATGTTTGTGTATGTGATGTGTTTTTCATTTTTACTAAAATTAAACAATTAAATTACTTTATTGCATACTCTTTATTTTGTGTGTTCTTAATTGTTATATTCATTTAATGTAAACATATTTTAATATACACTTTTAATTTAAACCTTAATATACATACTCATTTAATTTGAATGTGATTTGCATATTTTTTTCATATTTCATTTGGGCATGATATGATATTGGTGTTGATCTAATTTGCATATATGCTTAAATTTTCAGGGTCGGATAGTTTGCATAGCAGTATGGAGCAGTATGCTGAAACTGGAATGGTTGTGACACTGCCTAACAGTAACATGTTCTCCAACATAGATCCAACCGCTATCAAAACATATAGGTAAGAATATCTTATATTATTAGTTTTACTATTTGTATAAAATATTAAATTAAATTTTTATTTTATAAGTCAAAGACAGTATAATAAATTTATCTTTATTATCATTGGTTTTGTTTCTACTCTTGAGTAAGTGAACTAATTTTTTTTTGTTACCTGGTTTCAGTCGAAATGCACCAGAGTATGCAGTTGTTGAGAACGCTGGCAGTCCGCCAGTTACACCACACACCATGCAAACATTACCGTACCCACCGCGTAACTTTCCTATAGAGTTCAATCGCACCACCAGCTTGCCACCGCACATGACGCAGCCGTATGCATCAACCACGCTCGTTCTACCACCGACTATGCGGGAATTTCAAGAGCGCCAACAAAGTCGTGGCAACAGTAGCAATTCAGAGCACTCCGGCTCTAGCCGAAGTGCTTTCAAGAAGAACTGGAATGGAGAGTTGGATAACGGTGGATTTAGCAGCAGCGGGGGTTCTGTTCCTCCCCCATTACCACCCGATAGACTTGGTAAGATATAGAATTCCAAAAAGCTCTACTTCTCTGACCTTTAGTTATTTTTTGTCTGATTGACTAAATTGCCATAATACTGTTTTGCCTGAATTTGCAAGAGAAAAGCTAAATGTTAGAACGTGATGATTTTGTTGTTGCTCAAACTTGTGTAATGTTAACCTCTCTTGATAAATGTTAATGACTTACATTCAAGTGATTGAACATCTGGTAACGACACTATACTCCTCAATTTCCTAAATTTGCACGACATGCCCTTTGCTTGAATAGCAAGACACACATTTTTACGATTTTTGTCTGTCGACTAAATCACTTAATGGATCTGTTTGGCATGTCTTAAAAGATTTGTATGGATTCTCTTTTAAAATATGAAATAACAGGTGTTTATTGTTGTAAATGGAATGCACATTTGATTTATTTGCATGTGATACCTGGTTAATGTTCATACCTGTTTTAAATGTTTTCAAATTTCTGGTGTTTCTACTATTTTAATTGTGTTTGGTTCTTCTCAAATTGTAATCCTTTGTTTTTGTGCGTGTTTTACTGATGTTTGGTTTTCCTGCATCTCAATTGTTTTTTGAATTTTATATTTGATGTTTTCATTGCCTGCATCTTAACCCCTTCCAGGCACCTTAGGCTCCTGCATGTCAGAGTGCACCTGTACCACTACCGGTATACTTACAGATTCTGGTGGTAGTTCTGTTGGTAAGTGCCTACCAATGGTATAACTTCCCTCTAAGATTTTAATTATTTTGTAATAGATAGAATCCTGGTGTTTATTGTTATTGTTAGTTTATAATGCTGAATCAAGAACATAATTATTCAAGATAGTACTATAGTCAGTCCAAGAATTTGAAATAAATGTGGTTTAGGGAGGAACATTTACAATTTGAGTATCCAGACCACCTTCAGCCCTATTGTTGGGCCTGGTAAAAAACTTCTATGGCTATGGCGACTTTAAATGGCCAGAAATGTCACTCGCAGACTTAATTTTGAATGTTGTAACCTCCTTTCCCGTTTTTTCCTTTTTTTTTCTTTTTCAAAAATTTAGCAGGCTTTACTGACTTACCCCCAACCTGTAATATTTCCCTGATCTCTTTTATTGAAAAAATAACAATAACATGGTTCGATCTATTACTATATATTTAGTTAATTTCTATCTAGTAACTACATTAATGATTTTAAAAGTTTGTTTAACAGCTTTATTATAACAGTACATGTCTTGTTTTCTGTAAAACATTTTTACAAATAAAATTAATAAACTGATTGTTTCAACAACTTAAAATAAGTCAAGATACTAGTGAATGTAAATTTAAGAATGTTTTGATTAATGGTAGATAACACACTTTATCTTAATACTAGCTAAAGACAAAGTTAGGCTATATATTTGCATTAATATAGAATATACTTTTCTCATAATTTTCAGATGAGAGGGGAAACCGTAGGAGGCGAACCTACCCACGTGGACATAAGCTTCCTGCCCCTAATATAACAGAGTTACTACCACCACCTCCAGAACACCCACCCCCATCTGATATTGAATCGGCCTTCGGTTCCCACCATACACTACCCTCCAGCCATCATCATGGTGCCACCATACCCATGTCTTCCAATCCCGTAACTCAACCGCACATCACAACCAACCCACTCTCACAGATGGACATGCCGTACAAGAATTATGGGCCAATGCCCATGATACATCAGATATCTTACCCAGAATCAAACAGCGATAACAATGCTAGTCCTGTAACCCGGATGCACAACAGCTGTAGCGACAACACATCAGATTGTAACATGTCCATGAACCAACAACAACAGCAACGAGATTCACTAACGTCACCAACCGCCCAGAACATCTGCAACCTGCATGCACGACAGAGTCCGCACAGTAACTTGATCCCGAACCATCAGGTGTTTGAAGACCCAAGGCATGCGGAGCTTGGCAAAGAACTACTGCAGTTCAATGATGATGTATCACAGAGTGAGGCAATGTCAGATAATGAAGACCTGAGACCAGTTATACCAGCAACTTGCAGACTGAAGCAAACTGCTGCAGGTTCGTTTAAAGGCCTCATTAGTATTTTAAATTATAATTAATATTGTTGTATTTTCATCCTAGCAACATAATCAGCTAGAAAGTATTTGTTCTATGATTATTTATTCTAATATTTATATATTTATTCTGCGATTTTTCAATATTATTATATTATGAAAAAGTGTCATATTCAAACTTAATTACCATATTTTAATAGTTGAATAAACACCCTGCTTTGAATAAATGCCTCTCTCGAATAAATTCCCCCTAAAGACCTTTTTTTAAAAAATAAACACTTATTAAAAAAATAAATACAGTATATTAAGTACTCAAGTATACTTTATGTAAATGACACCATGTAACCTATATATTATTTTCATTTATCCTTTAGGCCCAGGTTTATCATTAGGACTGACTAATGGAATTGGCTATAGCAGGGGAACAGCCCAGTCCTACCCCTATCTTTCAGAGATGTCTGAGGTGTCTGAGTCGGAGATGTCAGCAAAAGACGATGAAACGGACTTGGAAAGTAATTGTACGGGTAGGTATATCCACTCACATTTGTTGACCTGGCCTAGCTGCTGTAGCCAGGTCTAGCCTCTGTAGCTACGCCCTAACTCCCTTGGCCATCTTCATCACCTTTTATTAGTATGTCTTGGTTCTGAAGTAATGCCTAGCTCCTATAGCCACATCCAACTCCTGTAGCCTCCAATAAGATTGATCGTACTTCATTGTTATTATAGTATTAATATACAAGAGATATAATTCTGTTGTTAAGATGCTTGTTTTCCAATTCTGTGGTCCTTGGTTCAGACATATTCAGGGCATAGTCACTTGATGAAAATAAAATAAATTCTACCTTCTTTTATTCAGCCACGTTTTTCTTTATTTAATTTTAATTATATATTAATTTTAAGTACATAAAGTACAATAGATGCCTCGGGATTTTCTGGTATTAGTTTTTTGTTTTAATTTCAACTCTGGTTTTCCAGAAAGAAAAAAAAGAATGGATTTGCAATGCTCTAAACTTATTTTCATAGATTCAATGATGGCTTCTTGGGCCTCGATCAATGTCAGTGGGAGTGAGAGCAGTGCTCGGAATAGCCGGTTATCAAGTTCTGATGGCTCTTTTTTTACAGAAACCGACTTTGCCAGTGCCCTCACTCAAGCTGCGGAAAATGTAGGAATACCAGTTGTCAACTCCAATGGAGTTCAGCATAAAAATGGTGAGTGCATGGAATACAATCAATAATCAATCATCAATAGTCAATTAATTGACCAACATTGATTGATTTGAATATAATTGGGTAGTTGGTAGGATATGATTGTTGTCATGTGAACTGGACTAAATTTACAAAGTTAAATAACATCAATTAATACTCTGTCCACAATATAAAACTTGATGTGACAAATACATGTGATATGCCCATATTTGGGTGTAATATGACATCATCATGCCCATATATGGGCACATCACACAAACTTGTCACATAATTATTTGATACAGTAGCTTAAGAATGTGTAGTGCCTTATTTTCTCATTTTTCTACATTCATTACATTTATTGAATTTCAGATAAAAATAAATCTGCCCTGAAGAATTTCCGTCAACGATTTCCAAGCGATACAGATAGCTGCGCTAGTGGAGCTGAAGTGAAAAAGAAACGGCCAACTGCTTCAAAAAAGAAAAACAGTCAGGACCCTAACCAGAGTAAGTAAAGATTGGAAAACGGTGAGAGGATTTAAACAAATCAGCTTTACCCTTAAAACATTACAGTCTTTAAAATGGTGCACTTCTTATGTAGACTATAATATTTGTCCATTTTTTCTAAAATTTAATGAGATTTAAAAATATTTTTAATCATGTTTTTGAAATTAAATAACTAAAATCTATTTAATTTGATTAATTTTCAGACGTGCAATCAAATCTTAAGAATGGAGGTCCGAAATATGATCAAATTGAGGCACAATCAGATGCATCAACACTGCTTAATGACACTGAAATGCCACCCTATAATAAGCCTCAGTTTCCCTCCACATCTCCTAGCAATACATTTTCCAGCAGGAGAAGTCGAAGGTCAGATGGTGATCTTGAACAGCCAAATGAACTAACCAACATGGTAGAAATGTACCGAGATATGAATGACTTGGGTATGACCGTTACAAACAACCCATTAGCTTTAAGTGCAAATACTAGCGTTTGAGAAGCATTCCGAAGCGATAAAGCTTTAATTGCGACAAATGCACTTCCTCTGACAGAAGAACTTGCAGATCCAATCGGAATTATAAGCAGTTAAATAGAAGATGACTTAATCCTTTTCGTTATGGAACGACAACAATGTTTGCGCAGTTTGTTGAGGAGGTATTATTGTACCTCCATGTTCATACCGTGGATGGCTATTCTATGCCAGTACTTTGTCAAAATGCGATATTTAAATTATATGGCTAAAAGCCAAATTAGAGAGTGGTAATCACTACTATTATTACAAAAAAAAAATATCAAAAATCTTGATTTATAGTATGTTGTAAGTTTATTGAAAATTATTTGTTTGTTTTTATAATTGCCTAACATTGATGTTTAACATCTTGCCAATCACTTACCCTATCACTCTTAAGTACAAAACAGAGTGTTTTTAGCAGACTTATTCACTAGATGCCTACTTGTCTAAAAAAATTAGATCTTTTTCTGATCTTTTTGTGAAAGTTTGAGATAAAAGTTACAAGCTACACAATATTTTTTGCCAAAATGATAACAAGATAAGAGGTAAACTTATTCTATAAATATTAAACATATACTGGCACTTAAAGACCTTGTTTATTTGCGCCTTATAAATCTACCTATTATCATTATTGATATTATAATGAAATAATTGATGTAGTCCAAAAAAAAAATTAGAAAATGCTAAATAAGTTTGTCTACTCATTTATAGAAATGCTAATTGATTAATCATTTTGCCCATTCTTTTCAAGATATTTTCTTGAATAAATATAGTTGAAGTGTTTGTAACATAAATATAGAACAATTGGATTGCTAAAGACAAAAAAAGTGTACATCGTCACCCTTTGTAACGGAAATTAAAAGTAAGATCATTGTTACACATGTGTATTTGATAGTGTAACACATATCCTATTGCATGTGGTTATGACTCTTGGAATTCTACAGGTGGCCACAAACATGTCTAGCTGACATATTTTGGTAAGCTATCTCAGGTGGTTAATTTGAATCTGATTGGTCGAAAACAAGTGGCCATGGGCTGCTGATATTATTCCAACTGGGATAACTTTCACCATTTGCTCACGATATTGGATAAAACTGTAGGTACTTCACACTTTTGACTTTTAAAAGTTATGTAATGATGAATCGTTAGTTGCGTTTTGTAGTTCTGATATTCATCAAGCTTTGAATCAGATGTAAGTAAACCACTAAATTGAAATTTTTACTTTGTGAACTTGCAACATAAAATATTGTATAAGAATGTGACTCTAATGCTTCAACTGTGGTGATTATATACATTGATACTTAATGGAATACTAGTTTATACATTAGGGTTATGAACTTCCTATGGTCTGAAGCTGTCCATTATTTTTGAAAAGTAAGGTTGGATTCTAACATGTCGTTTAGACACATTGTGTATTGTACATACTTTACGCATACATTTTAAATATTTAACGAAAATTGTTTATATTTCATTTCTAAGATGAGAAAGCAGTGTAAATTATTTAAAGAACAAAACAAGCAGCTTTGCTCATTTGCATAATTTGTCCAATTCTTTTATTCATAACACACCCAGCCACAAACCCACACACACTCACATCACATCAATTAAGTCAGCTGTAAATTACGCCCTCGGTTGTCTGCACAGTGAAATCGTAGTTACGCATTGTATTAAATTCCCAATAATATTTGACATATATAATGGCTACTAATTCTGGACAAAACTAAAGAAATGTTTTTCAAATTCTTAATTTTAATTTTGCATTTTATTTTGATAGAAAAAAAAATTATTAATTTAATTTTTGTTTTATATGATGGACATGTTTATAGAATTAAAGCTGTATTTTTGTAAAAAGGTTCAAATAATTAGTTGTTGGACTGGTCCTGTTATTTGCAATATTTTTTATCAAGTCACTACACACCTTTCAATGTTATCTTGATTTATTTGAAAATTCTTCACAAAATATGGAAAAAGGTTGTGTTTGTGTTCTCTATAAGATTAACTTGGATAAGAATGTATGTATTACTTATAGCTTTATTTTCCATAACATAGTACTCTTAATTTATTTTAGTTTACAGACTTTTTTGTTGTCTTTTAAGTTTTAATTAATCTTGAAATTATTCAGTAAAGTAGTAATGAACATTTGATAGCCCACCGATACAGGGAGATCTATATTAATTTGCCTTATTGATTTTATATTGGTATCTATAGATAGATTTTCTATGGTATAAATATTTGCACATATTCAAAACTTGGTTTGCTGTAGTTTTGGAAATACTTTGCCTTGTTTATATTATCAAGAAATTAATTACACAAATATTGAAGTGAAACATTTTTTGAATAATTTTTTTAATAAATAAGAATTTTACTAAAAAATATTTGAATTTTTTCATTTATCGAAGCTACGCATTTAAAAAAAACAAGCTAGTTATTAACCTGTAGCATCTTATTTTACAATAACATGCTTTTTAAATTGTATAGTGTTGCTTATAAGATGTATAGCTACCAAATTGAAAATCCTAAAAAGATGTCTTTAAAAGAAATTACCAATAATTATTTATGAAGAGTTAACAAACGTTGGTAAGCTCTCTTGTACAAATCAGAGATACATGTGCACTAATATGTTAGTGCATGTGGTATTTCTCTGGCTACCTGATTACTTGCAATATCGTGTACACTGTTGTGTCTGCATAGGTGTTGATATCTTTGCCGATGCGTTACTACGCTGTGTAGACGCGTTGATATCTGCACTGTTATCTTCGCTGTTAGTGTTAACGATGTGATATTTATGAGCTGAAGTTGATTATGTTATTGATATTTTTATATATTGTCTAACACCTTAGATTTTAGGTCGTGGGTGTTTTAAAGGTTATATAAAGGTCATTGTTAATGACAAAGTAAAAAAAAATTGGTTGTACATACTTATGAAATTTATAATTGAGAAATAGTCGTGTATATGTTCAGCTTGTGTATAATATAAAAAAATTGTTGTTATAAAAATGATTGAGGATTTTTATTCATGTTAATGCAGTTACCATTATGAATTTACTATCATTATAGTGTAGTTAAATTACAAACAATATTATCTGTTCTCATTTACTTTTAATATATTTTCTGAACTCTCCAGCAGAGAGGCAAAATATTGATTGGCAGGTGATGTTCATGTTGCATTAGGTGGTCACAAGTAACCACAAGTAGATTAGACAACAAGTTCCAATAACTTTTTCACTAATGCAGAACGTTCTGCCATCTTTTTGTTATGATTTCTTCGTCCTTTTACTGCCAACTTTGGGCATTTATATTAAATCAAATAATTATCTTGTGATAGTAGATTGCTAGATGTGTATAAGAGACAGCAATTACCATGGGTTCAAATTGGGGACCAAAGGCTCATTATTTCCATTGATGGATTTGCTTCATCAGTTCTTGAGCTTGTAGATTAAGTTTAAACAAAGTATTGTACACCAAACTATGTAATGATTGTTCGTAGGTTGAGCTAGAACGAAACATCGTACGCCAGTCTCTTCATGCGGCTGAGCGGCACACACCAAAGAAAAATCGTTGCTTATACCGCTCCACAGATCACCATGCTATTGGCAATGACCTGGCAACCTCTGAAAGTGAAGCAGATGAGGAAGAATCACAGAAGCAATTTCATGAGCATTCCCACAACATCCACCGAGTGATTAGCAGAGCCAGGCGTAACCCTGTCTCTTATACACATCTAGATTTGGGGAAGGAGGAACAGCTTGCCAGCGCGACTTATGCTATGCAGTAAAGTATAGGCCTAGGCCTATGATTTGTGAGACAGGTAAAATTCTAACGAATGGTAGATTTCATAATGCACTTTCTTTTGTAACCTTAACATTATATTTACATATCTAGGTAGGTGTCAGAAGGTGCACAAATGATTGTGTAGGGCCTACATGTCAATACTAATGAATGACATGATGACATAATCAATTTTCCCCACTATTATTAGTATTTACCATTCATCTATAGTTCAAAACCCACTTTCTTAATCGAGTGGAAAGAATAACAATTACGAACGACTAAGATAAGAAAATCATTTACATAGGTATGTTTAATTTTAAATTGTTGTTATTAACATAAAAATCAATTAAATATGACTAGGCCCATATAGACGTCATTAAGCAAGGCTTCTGCCTGGGAACCCACCGGGGCTTTTCCCTTGGCTCCCAGGCAAAGCTTGAGCCTCAACCAAATTATTAGTACAAAATAGGAAGTTACTCGCATAGGTTGTTGTTCGCATTTAAATTGCATCTTTTTCCACTCGACTAGCATCAGCTCAAAGTAAATTCCGCTCGAACTGGCATTTGTTCGGAAGTGCTATCCGCTCGAACTGACTGGTTCTCATAGCCAGGAGGCCCTAGGCCTATCTAGCCGACCTAGGCCTGTGCTGTGTTATGGCATTTCTTCAGGAAGGTAGTGTTCTCTTGACAAAGACTCCTCTTATATTTACAAATTCGCCCCTGAAAGTACGAATTTACCCTTGTTCTTGCTAACAAACAGTGGCAGTACCAACATCTGAGTGGGGGGGGGGCCAATATGACAATTTAGGGATTTCAGAGGCCTGTTTAATCGATTTTATAGGTAGATAGTCTACTAATATGTAGAAAATACATATCATTCTTTCTCCCCGATGGTTTTTCTTCTATTTTTGTGGGTGGGTAAACTGGGTGGGGGAGGGTTACTGCTAACAAACTTGTCTCTCCTTAAACAAAATCAAAATTTTTTTGTAATTTACTTGTAAATTGATAGGCGTCAGCTGAAATTGAGGAGCAGAGGATTCACAGGAAACAGGCAGAGAAAGAGGCCAGATTACTTCAATTCCAGGCAGAAGTGCGCAAGAGAGTCCAAAGGCTTCAGAGGATTAAGAAACAACAGCAATTAGAGAAGTCATACAAAGCTGTAAGCCAAAATAGTTTTCACATTAATGCAGCCCCATCAGTCACTGAAATTAGCGAGCCAAACTGCGTTATTTTGTTGTTTCATTCATTCTCTTAATTGCTGTCCGAATTAATCTCACACAAGACATCAAACTAGCGGTTTCACTTAAAATCAAAAAACTTATTCTTTACACATGGTGTGCTGGAAGTACAGTATAATTCTTTTTATTAATGTTTTTGTGATAATTCATTATTTATTATACTTATCACATGTTATCACACATATGACCTGTGCCCAGGTCACAAATACCATGGGTTCAAATTGGGGACCAAAGGCTCATTATTTCCATTGATGGATTTGCTTCATCAGTTCTTGAGCTTGTAGATTAAGTTTAAACAAAGTATTGTACACCAAACTATGTAATGATTGTTCGTAGGTTGAGCTAGAACGAAACATCGTACGCCAGTCTCTTCATGCGGCTGAGCGGCACACACCAAAGAAAAATCGTTGCTTATACCGCTCCACAGATCACCATGCTATTGGCAATGACCTGGCAACCTCTGAAAGTGAAGCAGATGAGGAAGAATCACAGAAGCAATTTCATGAGCATTCCCACAACATCCACCGAGTGATTAGCAGAGCCAGGCGTAACCTTGCTGATAAACAAATGTTACTAGAGAAAGTATGTTTATAATTTTTTTTTGTGTAACTTTTACATTTTGCAATTTGGTTTAGGAGGGGAACTAGATAGTGTTCCTTAGGACCTGATGGAGCTTTCTGGAGTGTCAGTCAAACTTAACAACTGACCAATCAGAACATGTCTAACAAACACGCGTGGTGTTCCACAAACGCACCAAAGAGTATAAAACTGGTCCAACTGCCCTTTTTTGTATGTAGGCAATGGAACGTTAAAAAGTACTGCCACGAAGGGGCGTGTCCTTCAAAAGAACGTAAAAGACATTTGCATGGAACACATGCTGCGTTTCGAAACTCGAACATACCTTCTATAGATGCGCAGCACATGTTTGATACGACCTCCTTTTACTTTCTTTTGAAGGACACGCTCCTTCGTGGCATTACTTTTTGAGATAGGATTACGTTCCAATGAAACCACGACAGTTGGACCTCTTGCAGTTCTGTACTCTTTGATGGCATCCATGACTAACAGACTTTAAAGAGACACTAACCCAGTAGTAAAAATGTTCATGCAAACATTGTGAATTTGAATGGAAGGGTTTCCAGGAGATTTTTGTTTGTTGCAGGTAACCATTTAGATTAACCTATTTATTATTTTCTACATAGCAAACTTTGCCTGGTGGAGCTTGGGGTATGTCAGCAACAAGAGATAAGCCTGTAAGTCATATTTATTCGTATTATAAATGTTTTGATTAATATTATAACCCTTTTACACCGCAAGCAAAACTCCAGACACAACCCGAAATTTTGCAATACCCAGGCTAGAAACTCCCGAGTTGTGGTTGGTATAAACATAAAAAAATACCACCCGGGTTGCCCGGGATCGATGTGCGGGACGCATTCAGCAGTGGACAACCTGGGTGCATTCCGGAGTCGCCAGTGTAAACAACACCAAATTTGACTCCAGAATTAGGCCTTATCTGGCACCTTTTTAAATTAAACCCCCTGCGCTCTGATGCAACACCATAGCAACAAAAATTGAGGGCGGTATTTGAACCCGAGACGGTTGCCGGTGTAAAATGGGAGCAAATCGGGAACAACCCAGACTTTTTCGTTCGATGTAAATAGGAAATGCACCCGGGATCATTCCGGAAGTAAGTATTACTTTCTCGGTCCGGTTTATATTATCAAAGTGCATAGGTCATCACAATATGTGCTCAACCATTATTGATATTATTATTATTTTTTTCAAACTCATTATTATAAGTGGCAGCAGGTTTGCGAAAATTAGTATAAAAAAGTAATTCATTTGAAAACTTTTTTCCAATACTGTAGCATTGCTCTGGCAGCGGACACGAACACTTGATATGTATATTATTTTTCATTATTTACATGTATTGAATCATTTTCAGTATTATGATTTAAGAGACAACTTGCAAAGTCTACCAAAAGCTTATGTGGAATTGGTGGAACCCACTGAAAAACATCAGCAACTTGGGGAGGATTTATGCTCAGAGCAGAGTTTACAGCAAGTTGAGGGTCCACCTCAGGCGACTGTAAGTGTAACTTACAGCACAAATCTTGACCGGAAGAAACATGAAAGTGCACCAGCACGTAAAGTGACATTTGACACTAATGAGTATATTGAAGCGGGCCAAGGAGACGGACCATCTGAGACAAGGAGGCAGGGTAAGATATTATCACAAAAGCTACAGGTTCCAAATGTCAACCCTGGAAGAGGACAGGAAGAAGATAAGCGATTAGTAAGTATACTTGTAGCAAAATTGTTGAAAATTTTGGTTGCCAAATAGACTCTTTAGTATTTTGTCCTATATATTCATAAAGCCAGGTCTCCAAACGCTATCTCTGACTCCTTTGGCGATGTTGATTGGTCAGTTGAATCAGGGAGTGTTCCTGATTGAGTCGGGGACAGCTACACAGTTCAAGTATTGCAAGTGAAAACGCTGTAGCAACTATGTAGCGATTCTATGAAAACCAGGCTTCTTAAAATAGTAAGAATGTGTTCATCCTCTTAATCCTTTTGAGAACATAAACATCCAGATCTTCCCATCTCTTGATTGGCTTATAATTAAGAACATTATATATACAGAAGTGTGAACCATGAAACACAGTGTTTGAATTTATCTGCTTTTATTTACAATTATGTACATTCTCTACCCTATGTAAGTGATATGTATAGCAAAAGTAAATAAACATATATAAGATACATACATTTTTTCAGGTCTCCTTCTAATGAAAGACACCTCTAATTAAAGACCATTTCCAATTAAAGACCACTTTTCTGAGATCCCAAAACATCTTTTATCTTTATTATTCTAATTAAAGACCAAAGCTGCCAAAGACTATGGAAACCCCAGTATTAGTGGTCTATAATTGTACCTAATTTTTCATGTTTTTTTTTTTTACTTTTTGTATCTCTGAAGATGAAGAATCAGTTTTCAATGTACAGACGTTTATTTATGGATATTGAGCGAGAGCAAGTGCGGGAAACAATACGACGTAAACAACACCGAGAGAAAATTAATCGGTAAGCTGTACATTCAAGCACAAGTCAAAAAAGTTGTCAGCCATAGAAATTAAGTAAAAAATATTTGGTTGCCTGGAATGTTGTTGCCATATTTATAGAGGAATGCTAATATACAGGGACTCCCACACCTAGGCCTGGTACCGAATTAACAAGATTATAATTATTCCATGGTCCTTAGCCTTGGGAGAGTAAAACGAATTCAACTCCTAGCTCGCTTGCTGTAGTCGAGCTGGCGAGAAAGATAGGCCTAAGCTAGCTAGGCGCAGTCGGGACGCCGGCCGGTAGCTCACCATTGTTGTTATAATGATTCGCTGTCAGCGTATTTTACGAAGCCTCGTGATTGTTTCTACATCAGACATGTGAAATTTAGCGAGATTTCTTTTGATTTTAGGTCTAGGCCTATTAACAAATGGTAGTAATGTTGATACGTTTTCCATCGCTGCCGCCATTCGTTCGAACTAAACAAAAAAAAAACACAGCTCTCGAAAAGGTCAAAATATGTACATGATGCATGCGCAACAACAAATCGGAAGATTTTGGGAAAAAAACAGGCCTCGCGATGGTCTGTTTTTGTTCCGAGATAACTCAGGGGACCCCTGTGAAATCTCGGAAAGTTTTACAAGGATTTGCTTTCACACTCATCCAAACCTGGTTACAACTTGTTACAAGTTGTTAATATTTGCAAAATAGCATCAGTGTGAAATGGGTATTAGTCTCATTACAAGGCTTAAGTCCCACACAATTTGAACCCAGGACCCAGGGATTGGCAAGCAAGCATCTTAACTACCAAGTTCAGCGCTTCATGGTCCTGTAGAAATCTCAGTCTGAATTGCAACTTTGGTTTTCTAGTGCTTTGTGTACTAAGGTCATAATCCCTGGAGAAATCAGCATAATAAAAGCGATATATGAATTCATACCTCTTTTTATATAATTTAAAACATCTAAAAGCATGAAATTATCAGTAGTTTTTTTAGGTATGTTGAATAGCTTTATTTTTACAATAATTTCATATTTGTGTTCATTTGAATAAGAATTAAAAAAGAAAAAGAGCTAAAGAGGAAACAGGAGGAAGACATGGCCAGAGCCGCTGTGGAGTCAAGGAATCCAATCACTGGGGAGACTGAGGAAGAGGCTAAGGAAAGACAGAGGGAAGAAGAACTGCATATCAAAGAGATCATGGAGACACACCGCAAACACAAGCAGAAAAACAAAGAAACAGAAAGGTTAGTTATTTGACAGATTATGAGTTTGATACCAATGATTGCAGCAGTACTACTCCCCAGGAAGTGAAGTTGAAAGTAACTTTTTTGTATGACCAGAAGTAATAATGTTGTTTTGTGTTCAAGCCTGTCTTTTTGGATGGAATTATGTGTGCCTTGGACAAGTAGATGTCAAATGGCCAAGTGGTTAAGGCAGGGGCACCGCAACCTACAGCTATAATATCAGCGCTGGTTCGAACGGCACGCTCGTCTGTAGTTTGGTGGTGGAACAAGTCTTCTCAGATAAGGACTATAAAGCGTAGGCCCAGTGTACACAATTGGCTCATGTGCACTTTAAAGAACCCAGTACAGCTTTCGAGACGAGTAGAGGGTTACCACCCCGGTGTCCTGGTCCATACAGCCTCTGTTACCTTGCACTTGCAGACCGTTAGGTCCTTTGCAGGATGTACCTACGTAAACATTGTAAATGCCGGTTTTTTTTTACTAGCCACATTAGCAGCTTCTGTGTCTAATCGTGGCTTCACCGCTGAGAGCAGTTTTAAATTTGGAAAGTATGTACAGTATCCATGAAGGTGTGTGATGAAACAAAATCCATCTCTATTCCAATTTCTTTCATATATGCACATGTTGCACACATGTTCCGTTGTTGGTGCATCATGTTGTGCTTCTATCTTTTTGATCACTAGTTCCACCCATGATTGATTGGTTTGACGTCGCTGTAAATTAGTAAGGCACCACGTCAGTGGTGGCCATTTGTCTTCTGAAGAAGATGGCTACTACAACAGTAAGTCTCCAGATGTACTGGCCAATCACCACCAGAAGGACCCACTGGAATTAAGTGTTCAGACTTTTGTGGGTTATTCTTAGTATTTACACCGAATATATCCATAGATTTTTGTGGAATACTGTACATACATAACAATGACAAATTTAGAATTTTGTAAGTTTAAATTATTAATGTTTTTTACAAAGGTTTATAGGAGCCTTAAGAGCCGCCATGAAAGAGAAGGTGGAGAAGCAAGGCGTCAACCTGCCTCCACTGTGTGCCTGCTCATCAACCCTGTGGGACTCTAGCCCAGAAACATGTGCCAACAACTGTATGTTCTACAAGAATCCTAAAGGTAAAGGTCATACCAGTCTGTGCATCTTAGACATATGAAATAAAAATGTAATTTAGTTAATTTTTAGAGCCAAATTTTGAGTGGTGTGGCAACTTGAGAGGTTGTTCAGCGGTGCCTGGACAGGCATTGTGAATCAGCAAATTAATTTTCAATATTTGATTATTATATTTTAATTTGATGATGTATGCTTAGTGAATCTCTGACACTATTGTCATAAAGGGGAACCAGTCAATTCGAGCGGATGCCATTTCGAGCGAAGGCCAATTCAAGCGAATTCGAGCGGAATTTTGTGCGAACAACAACCTGTGCGAGTTATATAAGAATTACTTCAAAATTTCCTATTTTTGAGCTAAAAAGTTGACATTTTCAAAGGGGAAGGGGGCACACAACAGTTCCAGAATAGATAAGTGAGTAGCATAACTCAATTACAAATATAATTTGCTTTTTTAAATACAGAACCCCAACCAGTGGCGGATCTGGGGAAGGGAGGGGGGGTGGTGAATAGGGTGGCTAGCCACCCCACTTTGTTTACCGTGAAAAAAATAATGGTCACTCGTCTTGTGTGTGTGCTTCTCGTGCACTCTAGTAAAACATACACTTTCTTCTTTTTTAAGCTGAAAAGTGCGCAATTCTATTATAGTTTCAACTTGTTAGCAGCCATCTTGGTAGTCGAAGTTGCCAAGACTGTAATTCAAACATGGAGTAATTATCAAAAAGTACTAAAAACCTTTCAGAACCTTAGTAATCAGAGCATTTTTTTGCATTTAAAACAAACAAATACGGCGACGATAAATGCATCCGCTCGAACTGGCATCCGCTCGAACCGACATCCGCTCGAACTGACATCCGCTCGAATTGACTGGCATCCGTCATAAAGTCTATTGTTATGTTTGTGAAGCGGGTAATCGCCCTTGATGACGTATGTAGCAGTAAAACATCTTGAATCTTGTTCAGTGGCATATCTAGAAGTCTTGAAATGGGTGTGCTGATGGGGGAGGGCAGAAATTTGGAAGATAAGGTGATTTTGGGGGGGGGGCTAGTATTTTTTATAGGGGCATGTGCCCCAGCACACCCCCTAAATACACCACTGATCATGTTTAGTCTTGTTTGTTTAAGGCGCAATGGTTGTTTTTTTCTTCTTTAATTTATCCATACATACTGAACCCTTGTCAATCACGCTAAGCATTCCTTTTTTCTACTTCACAGCTTATGCCAAAGCATTGTCATCCTTACTTCAATCCTGTGAAATTGTTTGAGTTAAGTTCCTGCCATTTTCAATGATACACCTCACGACTGAACTCTCAATGTTGCCTCATCCTTCTGAAAGGTCAAAATCATTGGCTGAATCCGGGAAATCAAAGTAGAGGGAGCCCTGGGAGTGACTTTTACAGAGTATTGAGATCAGTATGCTGCCTGAAGTAAAATATTGGAAGAATGGACATTTACGCTAAGCACCACCCCTTGGATATTGTTGATAATGATATTGTCGTAAACATGACAAATGCATATTTCTGGCCCTCTTCTGATTGGTCTGATGTTAAATTAATTCAGACTTCGGAAAGGTCCATTAAATTTTTAAAAATGTCTCCCTCTAATTAAAGACCACTTCTGGAACTGGGGGTTTCCCATAGTATTTAGCAGCTTTGGTCTCTATTTACAAGTAGTATAATAAAGATAAAAGATAGTTGTAAATTTGGGACCACAGAAAAGTGGTTTTTAATTAGAGAGAGACCTGTATACTTAATTGCCTATTTATGAAGATCAAATACATCAACTTTTAATGAGAATTTTAAATGTCTACCATTACCATATTTAGGGTATGTACAAGAAAGGATATTATTTATGTGTCTGCTATTCTAATTAAAAAGGAAAGTGTTTCCTATTGAAATGAAATAACTTCCTTAAATATACAAAGTGCTGGTAAACAATTCAAAATTTATTGTTCATTTTTTTTTTTTCAGACAATTTACAGCAGTGGCTCTCAAACTTTGTGAAAATTTGCATCAATATTGTAGTGTAAAAACTGAAATCTCTTTCCATGGACCCCACCAAGACTCTAGGCTGCTCCAAGGGGCGGATCAAGATAACACTAGCCTAGTGTGTCAGGGGGCATGCGCCCACAAAATTTTTATTTTCTAGACAACTGAACTTACCTCAGAGGGCGATCAATTATTTCTTTTTCTTTCTAAAAGGCTCCTTAGTTTGAGCCCATGTTGGCAATTTTCTGGAGTCACCACTGCTCTAAAATATTGAGCATGTGCAATAGTTTTGCAGAAATATAGCAGTCAACATACTGTAGTTATCTTTTCTATTATTGAACAGCATATATATGATTCTGTACCTACTCTCTAAACACCAACAATTATAATGTGTGTACGCTCAATGTTCATTCAAAATTTGTAACAATTTTAGTGTTAACATTTAGACATTTTTTATTACACATGTTCATTCAGCATACTTTTAAAATAAATAAAATCCAATTTTGTATAAAAAAAAAATTAATTCTTTTGTTTTCATGTTTTGATTGTTATTGACTATAAACTGTAGTATATTAGTGGTGGCAAAGGGTCAATACATCTGAGAACAGTTCAAAATGAACCCCACCACTGTTACCCTGTTATGTACTATTGTTACGCGTTGATTTAAAACTGGCACCAAAATTGATTATGGCAAATTTTGGGATTTGTAATCTTAAATTATCAATGCTACTCTTTTAAATAAAAAATAATTACAAATTAGTTGCAAATGCACAACGAGAGGCTTAAAGCATTGTAAAACAACTTGTTGACATACAATTTCCCATTAATGAGAATGAAGTTATTGTAAGCTATTTCATCAACACAATTTGTGAGAAAAGTTGTTCAAGCTCTCAGTTTTGTGCACATAACCATAGTCCCTCGTTCAATTCTGATCATTGTTGTTGTTGGAAGTGCAGGTTTCAATATACAGCCACATAGTGGTGGCGTCAGAAATTTGCTGACAAGTAATCCGACATATCCGAGCCAAGGGGCCGACGAAGTCTCGGTCAACGGCCTTGTAGAGTTCAGGGGGAGAGTTTTCATGAATTGGCAGTCAAAATAAAAAATGAAAAGTTGAAGCCGTTTAGTCCTGCATGCCCTGCATGTTACAGAATGCCCAATTCACTACCAGAAGGATCCCACTAGCAGGCCCATTGGAAACAAGTCTTTCTCAGAAAATCGTCCAATACATAATTCAAGATGGTGTTTCCTGCAAGTTCTGCAATGCCAAATCTGTCCATTTCTGATCCTGTTCAATCATAGTTTCGTTGGTTTGTTCATTGTCTGGTTCTGGGTCTGGTAGTTCAGCCTGGGGGACTGCGATGTCTTCTGCTGGTAGCTTGTCTGTCCTCCAGTTTTCATCTACACTGTCAATCAGCCTGCCTTCTCTCAGAATATCAGAATCCATTTCATATACTAAAAAGTGAAGAATGTTAATTTCAGTTACCCTACAATTCAAATATGATATACTAATGCATAAAATATTTTGCGTATCATCAATACCGTAATTATTTGGCTTTCTCGCAGTCTTCTTGGGCCCTGGATATTCACTAAAGAATTAGGAGGCAAGTTAAAAAGTACTGTATGTAAATTATAATAATTGATTTGTATATACTGTAAAATATGTAAGAAAATATACATTAATTTGAATTTGATAATTGATATGGCACCATGCCTATTGTCCAACATACACATTTTGGCACTCCATACATCAAACAACCAGAACCAGTAGGTACTGGTGGTCGACTCGCGGCCGCTTCTTCATTGATTCAGTCTAGGTTGGCCTAATACAGGGTCCCTGTTACTTGCTAGGCATGGGACAAATAGGCTAGGCCCTAATAATAAGTGGCATTTTTATGCTAAATGGGAAGGGTAGGCTAGGCTGGGCCTAGCTCTCTCACTCTCTAGGGACTGGGCCTAGCCTACTAGGCCCTAATAGTCTAGCCATGGGCCTAGAGAGGGTCTAGCCAGGGAGGGACAGACTCGGCCTAGCTAGGAGAGGCCTAGCTAGAGGTAGCATCATTTACTTAAGCCTACTAGTACTACTATTCCCAGAGCTAGCTAGCCTGTGTAACCAATTACACTAAAATAAAAAAAAATAACACTGTCAAAAATTAATTAGGCCAAATTAATTACTAGATTAAATACTGTACTTTACAAATACTTCATGCAGCAACCTCCGAGGCTGATGGATAGTGGATCACACGCTCGAGACGAAGATACGATCTTTGCTCGAAACATCCAGATGGTTCCCCGGAAGCAATCACTTGACCTATTTACATATTCATATTTTTCTCTAAAGTCTACAAGCGCCTCTCATTCTTTGCTCCTCTCCCTTCACTCGAATAAAGGAATTCTGTAAACATGTTTTTTGGCGGGAACCGGGGAAGACATACTATTTTATCTGTTGTCTATTTTTTTTTTCTGTTACCTGTACAGTATTTACAAAGCTACCTAAACGCCGATATTGATGTGTCACTTCAAGTGTATAATTATTCCTTTCTTTATCATCATCATCATCATCATCATCATCATCATCATCACCATTCAATTTTAAATGCAAATTTGTTAACAAATGTATAAAATGGGTTTTTAATTACCCAATAGCGATGAGAACGTTGCTATCCATAACAACTTATTGATCATACCAGGGAGTTGTTGTAGTGACACTATACCGTAACAATTCTCTGATCATACTATGGAAAAGTTAATGTCCAACTACGACTATGGGAATGTATTACTAATTGGAGATGTTACTTGCCCGATCATTACTATACACTGTTCCTTGGCTAATTAATTGGAAAATTAGAACTTGCCCAACCGTTAATTATTGGAAAGATGTTACTTACCCAATCTTTACTAATTGGAAAGTTATTTGCCCGTCCACTACTAATTCGAAATACGTTACTCGCTCAATCGTTACTTATTCGAAAGATGTTACTTGCCCAATCGTTACTAACTGGGAAAGTGTTACTTGCCCAATCATTACTAATTGGAAAGCTAACTTGCCCAATCATTACTACTGTAATTGGAACATTGTTACTTGCCCAATCGTTACCAATTGGAAAATTGTTACTTGCCCAATCATTACTAATTGGGAAGTTGTTAACTTTCCCAATCATTATTGGAAAGTAATTACTTGACCAATCATAACTAATTGTTACTTGCCTCAGAATAGGAATGCTATTCACCACCGGACGTCCCCACCCACTACCAATCCGCCCAGTGGCGTAGCTAGGTAAGAAAGGCCTCCGGGTAATAGGGGAATTCCCTAAAGGTCTCAGAAAATTCATAGAACTATTTTAAGACGTAAGAGCGGCATATTCGGTCTCAGCAACTGTTCTATAATCAAGAAAATTGGTAGCACATAAAATTCAACAATTGCAATGGCAGGTCAGGAATTTGAAGTGGAAGGGCCAGGGAGGTATTTTTACAGGTGGAGAGGGTAAGAACATTTATGAATTTAGCACCTGTAGATGAGGTGCTAGAAAAACCGAATATTATTAAGGGGCCCGCTAGTCGTTTTGTTCTTCAAAATATTAAGTTGGAAATTATTTTAAATTATCATTTTTAGGTCTATTTATGAATGGGCCCCTAATAGCTCCATTGCTTTGCAATGCCTGCACTACCCGTAGCTACGCCGCTGAATCCGTCCATGGGTTAATGAGAAAGTTGTTACTTGCCAAACATAATGGAAAATTTGTTGCACAATCATGACTAATAATAAAGGAACTTGTTATCTTGCCCAAAATAATTAATGGAGAAGTTGTTACACTTGCCAAATATGATTAATAGATTTGGGAAGGGGAAGTAAGCTGTCTGACAGTTTTGTGCAGAGGTCAGTAGGGGTCAGGGACAAAGCACTGGAGTGGTCCATGGCGCCTATAAAAACAGGCTCCCAGTGGGAGCATGAGCCTACTGAATGGGGTGGGGAATCAGTTATCTCGTCTTTATGACGCATGTTCGAGTTTCGAACGCTATTCCGTTTTCTAATAGGGCGCCCCCTATCTCGTGGTAGTAACCGTCATACAGGGATAACTGACAGACAATATAGTGTCTACTGCACCCACGTAGACAAAAAAACAAGACCAGTTTGGGCCATTTTAAGCTTGTCTCAGACGTTTTATCCTAAATCTAAAAAGATGCTACATGTTGTATATCAAATCATCACCATGATAGCATAAGTGCAGGGATTCTTGTTTTGCATTATACATTAACAACAATCAGCGACATATCTTGGGGGTTTGCAGGGACACACACCTCCCAAAAAAAGCTTGTGCCCCAGTTGCAAAAAAACATCTAGTAGTTAATTATTACCTCATATCATCTTATTTTGTGACCTAGTTCCCCTCACTTAATCATCAAGGCCCCCACTCCACGTTTTCACTAACAGCTCATAACCCACCCACCAACCTCAATTTCAAGACTCTTAGATATGCCACTGACAACAATATCAGTCATCTGTAGAGTTATCATTTATACTCTATATTTTATTATCCAAAACAATGTACTGTACAACATATATCATATATAACCTTTTATAAATCTAATAGACAAATAGATGTGCAAGTAGGGCCTATCCATGACCATATCAAACATCTGTGACATCATCTTTTTGAAAGTTCACTTTATCAGTTGGTACTCCAAAAGGATTTAAACTTGACATACTCAAAGTTATTCTATTTTTAGCATTTTTCACAGAATTCGTGTCACTTCTAGAACAGCTTGCAACTGGCTGGTCATGCTGTAATGATCGTTGTGATTGGTTGTTTTGTTCCAGATGACTAACTTCTTCACTATTATCATCCTCATCTGTGATATCCTCACACATTTCAGTTGTAACATTGAAATCTTTCTCACTATAAAGAAATGTTCTTATTTTCTCACATTGATTGATAATATAGTCTTTCTGTTCAGTTGTATCCACATCATCCAAAAAACAAGCAAGCTTGTCCATGCAATCAAGGATCACTAAGGAATCTATGGAAAAAATAAATTAAACTTGATTGAAATCATTGTCAAAACGATAATGAAGAGCACAGACTTCATACAGCCTACAGATTTGAGGGGTGGATTTAGGGGGCCCCCTTTTGAAAAAAGAGGGAAAAAAAGAGGGGGAAAAAAAGAAAGAAAGAAAAAGAAAAAATTGATCGCCCAAATCGACTCAGAATTATTTTCGGGCCTAGGGTACTGTTGTCTCGATGGGTCCCACTTTCGGCCGTCCCCCTTTCAGACATCTCTGGATCCATTCCTGGATTTTGCATGACTTTTCTGTCGATGTTCATTTGATAGAGTAAAAAAATAATACTAATACCTGTAATACTTTTAGTCTATATATTTACGAACCATTCACAGTATACTAATTCAAATGAAATTCTTCCAAGTCAAATAATAATAATTGGGACTTCATTGTAACAAAGATCGTAATTAAAATGTACCTATTGGAGTTGTTAATCAACACAATGAATCAAAATTTTACCAATGCTTGTGAGATCTGGTAGATTTTTGCCATGGAATAAGGCATCCAGGAATTGGTAAAGGCTCTTGAAATCTGGGTTGGTAAAGAACACTCCATGGTCATCTTTTGAGGCAGTAGAAAGCATCTATTGAGAAGCCAGTACAAATACAAGTATTATTTTAGGTATATTGGCCAATGATTGTCAAACACGAATATACAAACCAGTATACCGTATATCCTTGTGTATAAGACAAGGCTTAAAATAGCCATTTACAATAGAAAAACAGGGGGTTGTCTTATACGCACGACATACAAATTTTAGATTTTTAAAATCATGTTCGTTCATGTGTGTTCATGTGCGGATTGTTCTTAACACTTGAATTTACTACTGCAATGAAGCTACTTAAATGTACAAACACAATTTTAAAGACAGGTAAATAAGATTTTGATGAACATTTAAAAACCCATAAAATGGTATTATTTTGAAGATTAGCCTTGCATTTGGCTCAGTTTTTAGCCAGATAGATGCAGGATCAGGACAATAAAAAGCAGAAAAAAGCATGAAATCCGACCATGGAACAGGGGGTCGTCTTTACGCCAGACTTACAGAATTTGTCCAAAAATTGGGGGTCGTCTTATATGTGGGTCGCCTTATACGGTATATAATGTCCTACACTAATCCCTTTCACAAGACGTACATTATATACAAGATGCTCTACACTAACCAAGTCTCATTTGGAGGCCTAGGGTGTGGAGTAGTTTTGAGTTGTGAGACAAAAATCACAAAAATTCACACGATTTGAACCCATGACCCTGGTATTGTGAGGCAAGCACTGTATTACAAACACCATGGAGTTAAAAAGAGACATAACAAACCTTTGAGATGTCAGAAGAACAATCTAGGCTTGTTGCTTCGGCCAGGTCCTCGGCTAATTCAACCCATTCCTGAAAAATTAATGAATTAGTTCAGGAAACAATAAATTAAACTATTAAAATATTTCAATATTAATATGGACCAATCAAGATGTTGAGCTATGATAGATGTCTTAATCAAATGTAACATTAAATATTACCTGTATAGGAGCACCATCATCTGCATCTTTTTCCTCTGTTAAAGGAAATTAACAATTATTAAAACTATGTTATAAATAATGGCAAAATTTCAATTCAAACCTCCCAAATCGTAGAAGTAACACATTACAATAAATTTGCATCAAAACAGTTCAATTCAATTCAAACAATTTTAAAATAATGCACTGGATTGTATATTTACTGCTAGTCGTTAAATCATGATAATTTTAATGAAGTTAGTTACTTCTGACATAAACAGGGTTAAGAATTTATAATAAGCTTTGATGCTATCAACTTACCTGGTAAATCTTAGATAAGGATATTAAGTATACCATCCTCCATGGGTTAAGAATTTAACTTAACCTTTTATAATATCAACTTACTTGGTATAGACCAGACTAAGTTAAGGATTTAATACAAACTTTAGTGTCAACTTACATGGTATGGACTTTAGATAATGATACAGTGTTCAGTATAACATAAACTTATGACATAAAATGTGTTAAGATAATAATGGTGTCATCTTACTTTGTATAGACTGGGTTAATGATTTAACTTAATCTTTTATGGTGTCAACTTACCGGTACTTGGTATAGACTGGGCTAAGTATTTAATATAATCTTTAATACTGTCAACTGACTTTGTCTTGATACTTTTACGTAAAGTATTATAATGTGTTTGAGTTAAAGTTTTTGGCTGCACCTGTTGTTCAGAAAATCTGTAATTGAAATCAACAGAATAAATTTAAGTAAAATTCATTCATTTTTTTTGTTTCTTATATAATTTAAATATAAAAGTTAGAACTTCAGTAGTGAAAGCATGGCTTACTGTGTCAAAACCTTCAGTAAACTTTGTTTTTGTGTCAAATTCCAGTAATTGTAACCCTGTTCTTTTTTTATGGGTGTGGCTTCAAACTTTTGTGGAGCACGTATCTTCCGTGACGATTGCCTACGGACACAATTCTGGTCAACAGGCTTCTTTTTTGGCATCTTTCCTGGTTCTCTTTTCTGCAAGAATCATGCATTTATTATTTTAAAATATATTTACGGATAAGTAGGCACTGATCAAAATCTAGGCTAGGCCTAGTCCCTATCATCATTAAATTGTATTATGTACTTAATATTTTTATTTATTGTCTTTGACTAACCAAACTTTTTAACATTAATGTATCATACTTCAACACAAAGTCTTAATTGATATGCATAAATTGTTGAATGATAACTGACAGTACTACTGTGTATAGTGTACAATGTGTCATACGCAAGATTTACAGGTGACCAATAAAATTTTTTTTAAACTACTGTACACACATATGCGGGGTGCTACTTTGAATTAAGGGTTGTTTGAGCACAAATGTGCAGAAATATCCCTTGGTTTTATATGTCTCAATATATACAAGTTTGATGTACCTTACATTTAAAATCAACTCACCTATTTTTGTAACAATTTTTTTTCCATGCAAATTTGATGAATTTCAATAGCAGGCCACAGTTAGGCTACCTATGTCACCTAGCCAAGCAAGACATAGAGGGCCTACTTCAGTACCTGTTCTAGCTAAGGCAAGACTTTTTTTTATACCTTGTTTAACGAACCCGCTGCCGCCCACCAATGACGATTTTGAATAACAATAAAATTTGCATTGAAATCTCCAAAAATAAGATAAGATTCTTTCTAATTATATAAATTTAAAGCACTTCCATCCCAAAATAAACTGTTTGCATTCACCAATAAATATTTTTATTTTCTCTTCCATCTGTAAGTTTTTGGCAAGTCTATATGCTAAGTAAGTAAATACAATTTTATTTTTTTAATAATTATTTCCACTTTCCTCTGGCAATCTTTAAAAAAATAATTTTGTGAAATAAGGTATTGAAAGTCTCGCCTAAGAAAGCAATATAATCATCATAGGCCTAGCCAACTTCCTCAACAAAGGGAAAGCTAGGCTTGAGAAAGATGAAGTACGAAAGGCCTAGGCCTTAGTCTTGATTTTGATAGTGTAATGCAATTGATAAACTCCGGCTGGAGTATCATCACTCAACAATATGTTTGAATAGTGGCTAGGTAGGTTAGACAGTAGGTCTAGGCGTAACAGGGGAACGGAACTATGCATAGCTAGGTCTATACTACTTAGCTACTAGGTCTAGGCATAGCCTACTCCTACTACTAGGCTAGGCCTACTGCCTGCCTCTAAACCTAACCTATATAGGCCCCTACTATATTCTGTATAATGATAGTGATAATAAATAGAGAGAGGAGACCTATAAATCAATGTTAAAATAGCTTATTCAAAACTGACTGATGCACACTGCACTACTGTATGTGTACCTTACTACCACCGGAAATCCAGTGATAAATTTATTTCATTTATAATGCTGACTTTGAGATGAATCATCATCACATTCAACGGTACTTTACTTTTTTTCAAGTTCAAAGGTTGAATCTGAAGGTCATGTCCCACAATTCTCATTGGTTACACACAATACAGTTCGTCACCAAGTTCTGTGCAAATTCACTCGGTTACCTTTATCGGACAACAGATCGGCCTTCCCCGGAAAACAATACACGCTTGTGATTGGTTACTAATTTTCCGAATAATTACGACAGTTCACGATCAGTATTGCAATGGCAGTATTGTGCGAATGACCTGTACTGGCAACCAGATTTTTCTGATTAAACACAGGAATAATTTCAATTTATGTTTAATTCACTCTGCTGATTTTTAAATCAGTTCATCAAATGGAATAATATATTGATATATTTTTATAAAGTCATGCAAATAAGTTGTCATTGTACACTGATATTTGGATTATAGGGCAATTTTCAACATCGAAGGAACTGTCATTGATTCGCTCATCGCGCTTAGAGTCATTCGCTGCGCCTTGTCGACGACGACTGGTGTGGCCCTCCTCCCCAATCTAGGGAGTGACTACTAAACTTCAGATAGATTTGTTGGAATAAATACGATGTAAATTACTTGTAGCAGGAATTTATCAACTATGAGTGGAAGACCAAGAACAACGTCATTTGCAGATGCTAATAAAGCTGGAAGTTCTTCATATGGAGGATATAAAATTTCACGTAAGTTTGTTGACCATTTCTCGGCTAAAGAATATTGAAAGTGAATAAAGCAGCCTCAGCCTAGCCTATATAGATCGGCCGAACGCCTTGCCGTTGGCTAAAATGATCATGAATGCTTATCAGATATTTGGCCTAGGGGGTGTAGTAGTCAGCAGTATTATATGTAGAGATATTTAGGTGGCTAACTAATATTCTGTAGATTACTGACCTAGCGAGAGGCTAGCCTAAACATACATCTGGTGGATAATTAAAATAACAATTGGTAGGCTGGCCTGGCTAGGCTAGCTACTGAACTAGGCCTACACTACATCAGTAGGCTAGCCAGAATCATGCTCTTGCTTTACCTCACTCACACTCTTTAATTGGAATTCAATCAAGCTCTCTTGGAATCCTGACTTGATCCCAGGTTTTACTTTTTGGCATGCCCAGTTGAACTTCTAATCGTAGGCCTGATAAAAGGCTATGTTTTAATGATTGGATTACAGTATTATTGTTTTCAAGCCAAAACAATAGCAATACTTTTGAATTTAAAAAGTAGAATTTTAATATGCTTCCTATGCTAGGTCTACATGTAGCTATAGTAACCTGTCCTACAGTACTTCAGGCATTGCTAAGGACAAGGTCTATACTGATGAACTGGATTCTCAGTAGAACTACAAAACAATCAATATTTCTTGCTTTAAAAGAATTTGTAATTTTGTTTGTTTAAACATGTTCAGACTTTTTTTTCTTGTTTTTTTTATTATAATTTTCTCACCAAAACTTTAACAGAAGCAAACATTACTTAAAAAGAAATGAACATCAGCACCATTTGAAACTTAACAAAACAAAGCAAAACAGAATGCAATTTTAACTTGGTATTAATTGCGAAAAGATGAATAAAGTCATAAACCATGTTCGTAAATTAAAGAGTTGAGTTGGGGAAGTTTGTAATTAGGGGATGGTACTACATTAGCTTTACAACCATTCCCATGTAATTATTATTTTTACCACTGTATTTTTTTTTACTTTTTAAAAAAAGGAATCTATCTGCTCTGGTCAAATCGTTATATTTCAAAACAGAAGAAAATAAATTTTGAATTGATAATTACGAAGCTGACATTGTTGGCTACTATCAAACTCTTTCAATCACAAAGTTAATGGGGCTATTTGTTTCATTAGCATTTATGTAGGTACAGGTAGGTGTGTACAGATGGTATTCCTGTAGTAATATGTGTACTGTATGTCATGTGTGAACAATCTGTGTAAACACACAATAGTTAGTTGAGCATAAAAATAATACTGTGCAGTACAGTAGTTCCTCTGGTATAATGTAAGCCTCTCCCAGTCATCCCTTTGAACAGAAAATTAGGCCATTTGAGTGCAGTGGGCTTATCCCTGGGGAAGTTCCATTTTTCAGCACTGCCTACAGGCCTTATTTGAAGTCTTTTGATTTTTTTTCTGAAAGCATAAATTTGTGATGTCTACAATCTTTCCTAAACTACTAAAGATTTAAATTACATTTTGAAAACCTTAAAAATAATATATAATTTAAAATGTTATATCAGACAAAGTTTGAACCGATAACCACATCTTTTAAAGCAAGAACTATCAATCATATTTTTACTACTTTATTAACTACTGAGTAATTGAGTAGTGACAGCAATTGTGTTTGGGTACCATGTGATTTTGCCAGTGCTACCAAGTGGAAAATCTTTCATTTTCAAATTGACTGGGTCTTCATGAGAGACAGTGTACACTGTGTGACTAACATTTACACTGTATACTACTGTATAGTAACTATTGACCTGTTAATTTTAATGAACTTTATAAAGTGTTAACTATTTTGTATGGGCAGGTTCAATAGTAATTTTATGGTTATTAACTCAAGAACACAGTAGTATGATGTCTGTACCACATTACCAGCAAAATTCATGTTTTATCATTATTTATTGTTCCCTAAGTAATCACCATGAGACAATAACATTACCTATCTACCTTTGATGCATTATTCTGTTCAGTCCAAATACTGTAACCATGGAGGAAGTATAATGTAACAAAGAGAAAAAAATCTTAGGGAGAACAGTGCTAACCAAACTGATCAAAATCATAGTAGCAATGCTGGTGGGCCTAAAAACATGACATAAATACTTGATACTGTATATTTATTAGCTACTGTACTGTATGAAGTGAAGAATAAAGGAGTAATTGCTAAACCCCGCAAACCTCCAAAAACACACCGCAAACCCCATTCCAACCTTGTGATAGCGATGTACTGTAGTATAGGACACAACTTGGTACAGTATGTCAATCGAAAAAGAATAATTTTATGTTCATAACAACCTATTTTTCTGGTAAAATCTTAGATTTTTTTTTGTTAAAAATAAGCATGGATTATTACATTCAGTACTGTAGTTGCTCTTTGTCTCCCTGTCTTTCCTTTCATTCAGTCTTTTCTGACATAAACCTGAGAAAAGGGAATCTTTAAAATCAGGTTATGATAAGTTTTGCTACTGTACAGTACAGGTTGTGTATAGCAGGACGCTTGCTGTAATTTAACCAAATCATACGCAGAATATAAACTGTTTATGTACTGTAGGGACTGTATCTAATTTCCAAAATATATACTTGTATAATACTGTACATCTATGTAGTATAGTTTTAAAAACAAGGTACAGGTATGAAGATACTGTAGATAAAATTAATGATTGACTACAGTATATGATATTCCAAAAAGAATGTTAATGTTGAGGCAATTTAATGCACTGTATTGTGTACAGACCTGGAAATTAATTACACTTTGCCAATGTCAAAAAGAAATTTCAGCAAAGTGCACTTAAACATGTGTCCTTGCAAGAACATTTTGATTAAAATGTTCTTTTTAATTTAAATTATTCCTGTTTATCCAGTGGCTGACCTGGTTAGTGCAACAGATATGTTCTCCTCAAGTGCCCAATGTAACACAGGGAATGTAAATTGTGACATCAATAGGCTACATGTAACTCTAAAAGGCAACTGAATTAGAACTAAAGCAATACAACTAATGGCATGGAAGATACATCTTTAATAAAACTACTGTAGGACTTGGCATAAATGAAATCAAAGATTATTAGAATTACACTATACAGTAGTAGAAAGAAGTATTTAGATTTTGGTGATATACACTTTTTTTTTTCCAGAGAACCAGTAAAATTTTGCCTAGGCGCAATGTTCTTATTTTTTTTTACCGATTTTAGGCTCAAAATGTTCTTATGTCGTTTTAACTTTTAAACACTTTTTAGACTAGAAAATTATAATTATACAGTTGGTTTACTACGTATTACGTAGTCACACCTACGCAAATAAGGTATAGATAAGATTCATTTGACATTTTAACTCAATTTGTTCTTATTTTGTTCTTAATTTTTAAGTAATTTCGGCCTCAGTGTTCTTATAAAATGTGTTCTTATCAACAACAAAAAAGTGTAAATACTGTATGTTAAGTAGGCCTATTCAATAGCTTTAATACTGTTATTTTACATTTTCCGTTTTATGTTCAGTAGGCCATGTAGTACAGTACATTAAGTATGAACTTTATTAAGTTATTAAATTTAAACGTCAAAATTAACTATAGTATGCATTTTTAATTATCTTTTAAATTGATAATATAGTCTACTACGTGAATACTTACCTGGATAAACCGACTAATTGCCTATTCTTTTTCCCTCGAGAAACACCCCTCTTGCAACTTCCCTCATTCTTTTTCGATTGTTCGAAAGTTACACCGTGTTACGGAGTTCTCTTTAGAAGTTGAACCTTGGAATTTTATTATCTTGGATTTTTATCGTTTGCTGTGGATATTGTGTACTGTCGTAATGTCCTCGGAGTCGGGGCCCTCGGCCTAGTCCAAAAGTCGATAACCATAAGGTTTGCCCTGCTTGCAGGGTGTGTTCCGTGGATTCTCCTTGTGAGATTTGCTTACGTTGGCCGCCGTCTCAATTTGTGACTATTAAGGCTTGGCAGGCTGACCATTGCCGACCGGAGGCACCGGTTCCCGCAGTGGGTGCGTCCGCGTCGGACTCGACTCCGCCGTTTTCTGCGCTACCTCCTGCTGCGCTTTCCCATCCTGTGTCTACGGCATCCCAGCCGCCGGGGGTTGTTTTGGCTCCCGAGTTCATGCAAGCGATTTCGGTGGTGTAGTACATTAAGTATGAACTTTACTAAGTTATGAACTTTAAACTTCAAAATTAACTACAGTACTGTATGCATTTTTAATTATCTTTTATATTGATAATATAGTTAATCACTGTATATTGTACAGGTACTGTACTGTGGATCTGTCTTGTAAACTCTGTAGCATTATTTTAATGTAGGTTGTCATTATGTTGTGTATAGTACTTTACTTGACCGACAACCGATTTCAGGAGAGGTACATGTAATGTAACGCACAAAATTCAGACATGCGCAGTTAAATTAACATTACGTTCTACAGTACTGTACATCGGTGCAAGCGAAAGCTCCATATTGTTGTAAGCTAATAACAATTGAGGTTTGTCATGATGGCACAATGTTTATAATTGTTATTTAGGAAACCTTTGAATAGTTTAGATTTTGTAATGAATCTTGATAAGGATTGAAGATTATACAACATTGTCCATTTGAGAAGACTTTAATCATCTGATGCTGACCTGTTATTGTACAGTACTGTAGTTGCAGCTGGATTGTTTTGGGCAAGTACTGTATACATATACTATTTCAGAATCAATGCTAGAAACTAGGTCATTCTAAACATGTGCAAAATGACAGTAGTAAGCCACTACATAAGGGATCTACTGTAGGCCTAGAGTAGGATTGCTGTGGTTTTCCTGTATGCCTGTGGCTCATTTGGAGATATTTAGCTAATTATGTGTACTGTAGGGCTGAAAAATAGGTGAGATTTTGTTTGTACTTTGTTTAGTGAAGCCGATGATTTTGGCAAAACTATTTGCTAGATAGGTAAACAAAATTTTATTTTTATTCCACCCTCCTCCAATAAAAAAAGT